AAAATATTTCCCCTTGTTATTTACAGAATTTTATTTTATATTGAAAAATTATAGGATTTTTTTTTTTACTTTTATGATACAATAAAACTAAATTTTATCATTTTCATTTTTAAAAAAAAGACTAAAATTTTTACTGCATATTGAATTATTAGGTAGAGTACTATTTACTCATGAAAATATGAGTAAATGTGGGTAAACTAATATTTTATCCAATTCATTTCTTAAAAACTCTATTTTTACCAATATCAAATATAAACGGCTCAAATTTTACCCAACACGTCCATTTGTCACCCCTATTCTTAAGCCATTCCAAACATGTTGTACTTAGGCCACCAATAAAGGCCCGATTCTCATGATCTAATACAAGATTTGATTAACTACAGTAAATGATTTAATACATAGAGTTTAAGTTATATCAGTAAGATTAAATCATCGATTCTTATAGATAGGAACAATTCACTATTGACTTAGAATGCATGAATGATTATTGCTCCAAAATATAAAGATTATATTCATCATCTAAGTTACATAAAGCACCAAACATACTTAAAAGAATATATTAATTATGTGAATGAATAAAAAATTTAAATATTATAATCAAACATACCAATGATTTGTTATCTTCCCCTTCTGTTTGTCATTTTCTTTTCCTCTTTCCATCCTCACTAATCAAAGCCAAAGTAGTTCAAAATTATAATCCCTTCCTTTCAACTTCTCAAGTGAAAATTTTTACATAAAACTAAGAATGAAGGAAAATTAAAGGTGTAAGTAAGAATTTTTTCTTTTCCAGTTGAGAGTTGTAAAGGTACTGTTAAAGATAAGTGCACTAATAATATTGTTAAGTAACGTGAAATGAATAAAAATACCCTTCGTTTATAATTTGGCATAAATTCATCTTTAAAGTTATATCGAAAAATTAGTTACACGCTTAAACTATTGAGTCGATCTATTATACACTAATACTATTCAAAAGTGAATTTAATACCACTCTCGAAGCTGACATGGAAATAAAATTAAATAAAAAATAAAAAAGGCGCGTTTGAGTAAAAAAAAAAATGACAAATTTATTCCCACCCCAAACTTCTCCTTCACCTTACGCTACCTTTCTTCTTCCTCCATTTTTTTCTTTTCACAAACACTATTTCCATATCATATTCGTCAGGTCAAGAACGGATTATCTCATTTATTTTTTGTGTCTTTTTGTTGATTGTGAGCATTTGAAATAAAAAAAATTAAGATCTATCTTTTTTTTGTGTAAAAAGTTTTTGGATTTATGCACAAAATATAATTTTTAATCTATGTTCATAGATCCTTTTTCTCTCTTATTAAAATTCTCTCTAAATTTATTTCAAAATCAGTAATAAAAAATCAAGAACTAATTTTTCAATTGTCTGACTAAAATCTACAATTAAAATATTGCAACTTTTCACAATTCTCCTCTTTGAGCTTAATTGAAATTTGTATATTGTGATAATTTTTTGTTGTGTGTTTGGTAATGGGTGAAAGATTAGTGGTGGTATGATTTTTAATTTCGATAATAACAATGAAATTCGTGATTTTGATGTAGATGGTGAATTTATGATTATGATTGTGATGAATTTCAATGATAGTGATATGGTTCTAATGGTTAATTAGTTAAATTTATGATGTTTGTTATCGAATTTTTATGATGACAATGACTGTGAGAAGATTCCGATGGTGAATTTGATTATGGGTGGTGAAATCTATGGTGGGGGAGAAGTGAATTTGATGATAATAGCAACAGTTATACTTCCTCCGTTTCAAAAAGAATGTTCCTATTTCCTTTTTAGTTTGTTTCAAAAAGAATGTCCCCTTTCTTTTTTTGACAACACTCTAATTTTAACTTTCCACGTGGCAGGTTTAAGACTACAAGATTAAATGACGTTTTGGTACATTTGACATAACTTTAATTTAGAACCACAAGATTAAAAAGTCTTCTTTATTTTCTTAAATTCCGTTTCAAGTCAAACTAGGTCATCCTTTTTGAAATGGAGGGAGTAGTAATTTAATGGTGGGTTTGATGGTGTGTAGGGAAGAAGAAGAAATTGGGTGACATGATTTTTTTTTAAAAAAAATATGACATTATTGATGTGGCAGTAACATGGTGATGACGTGACGCGAGTGTGAAACACTTTCTCATCATGTGACTGGTTGTATGTGTGTTAGGGTTGAAAAAAATTCACTTTTAAGTAATGCAGGCGTGTAATACGTCACACAATAGTATAAGCGTGTAAGTGACTTTTCGTGATAAGTTTAGAGGGAATTTATGTCTTTTGCCTTAATTTTTGTCACATATATAATATCATCATAGCATATCGATCTTTAGTTTTCATTTATATAACGATACAAAAATTATAATAAAATAAAAATATTTTTAAAAAAATTTGAAGTAGGATAAACATTAACTAATTTTAGAAAATATTATTAGAAAAAATATGTTTTAAGAAGAAAATAAATGATATATTTGATTGGAAGGACATTTTTGATCCATTAAATAACAATAAGAGGCGTTTATGGACAAAAGTAATGAGAAAAATACATTTTTGGACTAAATTATAAACTAATGATATTTTTTTTATTTCACATAGTAAAGGGTGTTTCACCTATGGAATTTGTTTCTCCTGCTTTCATTAGAAAAATCATTACTTTATTTTTATAAATTAAAAACTCAATTTTCTAAAAAAAAATTGACCAGTCAATTTTTTATATATATAGATTTCAAAAAATTGTGTATGAGAAGTGCTGGGAGGTATTGAGAATTGTACTATTGGTACTAGAAAGAAGAAATAATTAATCAGGCTACTTTAGAGTAAAGTCATCTTTTTTATATTTTCTTTTTAGGGTGTGTTTGGTATGAAGAAAAATATTTGAAAAATCAAGGGAAAAAGACATAGATATCCTTATAATTGCATGAAAAGTCATTTACAACACCAACAATTATAAACATATTTTATCGTGTGTATAAGTTAAGCACCTTTAGGGGCGGTAATTTCAGTCCATGTTAATAAAATGAGCTTATTTTGTCCATAATCACTCATATTTTAATTGGTTAAATATGAGTTTCAAACTATTTTAAGAGTTTCTATGAATATAGTCAAAATAAGTTAAATATAGGCATCTATTTGATCCATATTACATTACTTATTTTCAGTTTTACTTTCACTTTCGAACTTAATTGAAAAACAGATTATTATTTTTTTTTAATTTGAAAAACACACACAAAATTAGGAGTTGATTGGTGGAAGGCTGAAGGGGGGGGGGGTAAATTCTTTTTTATTTTATTTTAAAAATAAGAAAAAATTAGAGGTAGATTGGTGGAAAATTGGGGGAGGGGGTAAAAAAAACTTTTTCTTGCAAAAATAATTTTTTTTAAAAAAATAAAAATAAAAAAAATTTAGGAGTAGGTTGGTGGAAGGTGGAGGGGAGCAGGGGGTTAATTTTTTTATTTTTCCAAAAACAGTTTTTTTATTAGTTATAATTTAATTGAAGTTATATGCACTGATAAAGTCAATATTTTTTTTTATGTTACTTTATCGTTTTTTCTATCGTCTT